TATCGGCTGTGCACGATCGGGCGATCGATCATTGGATTTATGCAGAGTCGTGGAACGCTCGAACGTCTCGTTCGCTTCTTCTCCCTCCTCCTCCTCCTTCTCTTGTTCCTCTTTCTCCTTCCTCTCGCGTTTAGAGGCAGACGTTGCATCTTCGTCGCGCGACTCTCTTTTTGTAAGCGCTGGGGCTGTCGACGAAAAGTCGCAGCGGCTCGATAAGAGGTTTAAAATGTCTGTTCAACGCGATGCCCTCCTCGATTCTACCGGTCTTCAAAGCGCGATGTTTCTTGTGGATCGACTCGCTCGTCTTCTCGATCACCCTCGCGATTTTTTCACGATCGCGCACATCTGCCATGTTCGTCTCTGACTAAATATCGACAACGACTAGTCACGTTACAGTATCGCGAACTCGTTAAATCCTTTTCTGTATCATCCGTTTGTGAGCCCACTGTCTTTGTCTATCACTAGAAATCCATATTTTTGCTGCCAATATTTTCGCGGCACAACGTGCAAAATTCATCGTACGGCATGTCGGTATTCACATGATCGTTGTAAACGTGTTTCAAGTTGGTACCGTCCTGTTTGAACAGGATCAGCAAGTTCGTGTTGTCGCGTATCAGATGTTTAAGTATCCTCGCGTACGTCTGACAGAGGTAGAAGCAGTCGACGTTCGAGTGGCGACCCATCGAAAAGTATTCTCTCATAGCATCCTGCTTGTCGCATGCCACGTCATCAAAGATAAAAATAGAATTTGGACGCGCCTCGCTCGTTGGAACGACGTCGCTGTTGTTGAAAAACGTAAAGCAGCCGATTTCGTCGAAAGACGTAAACAAATTTTCGAGATATCGATACTTTGACTGTTGCAACGATTTCGAGTAGACGTACACGTTTTCGAAACGTACCCCGTTCGGGCTTTCGAGTAAGCTTATGAGAACGTTGATTTTACTACAATTCGACGGGCCGCAAATAATCGCGCGTATAGTACTCGGCAGCATTTCGCCGTGCTTGCGCTTCTGCACACTGCTTCCCATTCGCGATTTCGCGTCGCAATTCGTGACGCGTATCGACAGCGATTGCAGCACGAATTTCATGCTCACACTAAGGCTACGCGCTCTCGAATGACTATTTAAAGGCGCGCAAATTTACGAGTCGCGCAGCGCTGCGTAGCAAAATGTATCTCGCTCTGTGTCATCCTTTCGACATTCAGGACTTGAACGCCGAGCAGCTGCAGTATATACCGAAGGTCGTACTCTTACGCGTGTATGGTAACTATATCGACTACGTGTGGCTTCCTGACCACGTGAAGGCGGATTCGAAGGTTCGAACGTATCGTTGCTGCGACGAGCACTACAATCAGCCGTAGCAGGAGACGCACATCGACGGTCCCGCACCTAAGATAAAGGACTGTAGCGAATGTCAGCGTCGGGCGGCAGTCTGTTGAATCGAGTGATAAACGCGCTTCCTTTCGAGTTACATATTCCGGGCTACCAGTTTTGCGACCCGGGCACTCGGCTTACGAAGCGATTAGCCAGAGGTGGGCATAAATCCGCTGGACGCGGCGTGCCGAGAACACGACATCGCGTATTCTCGGAACAAAGATCTCACCGATAGACACGCGGCAGATACAAAGTACTCGCTGAGGAGGCGCGGAAACGCGTCACCGCGAGAGATTCGACTCAGAGCGAGAGAGCCGCCGCTGCTGCCGTTTGGGCAGCGATGAAAGCCAAGACCAAGATCGGCATGGGCATGAAATCAAAGAAGAAGACGATAACGAGGAAAAAGACAACGAAAAAGCGGATACTTTCAACGGCAAAACGAGGTGGTGCGTTACCTTTTCCAATGTTGAGCGCGCTCGGGTCCTTGATTGGCGGAGCGTCCAGCGTGGCGAAAGCGATAAACGATAGCAAAGCTGCGCGACGTCAGCTCGAGGAGCCGCAACGTCACGACCGCGCGATGGAACAGGGCCGCGGTCTGTATCTCGCTCCGCACAAATATGGACGCGGATTGTATCTCAGGCCCTATAAACGCGGACAGAGTGTAGCAGCGAAGAACAAAAAACGCCAAAGAGACGATAAAAATGCCCTCGAGTGCAACTACCAACGTGCAATTGGACGTGCTCGCGAGACATATGCGCGTACCGTACTTTAGAGGTGTCTTCATGCGTAACGCTTTACCGACGAGCGGCGCACACCGAAACGAAAGCGGTATCGTGAATCTGGACTATGCGATCGGGCCGGGTACTCACTGGGTAGCGTACGCGAAGAGGAACAACCGCGTCGTATACTTTGACAGTTTCAATAATCTTCGACCGCCCAAGGAATTGGTGCGATATTTCGAGAACGGTATTACGAAGTTAGAGTACAATCGTACGTCCTATCAGACGTACGATCAGAGCTTCTGCGATCAAATGTGTCTGCGGTTTCTACAAACGGTAGACGCGCGTGAATTTAAAAAGCTCGACAAGGTGCTGTAAAATCTCAATATTAGTCGAACGCTTTTTCCGTCATGTCGCTGACACTTACGCTGAGCGGGAAGAGCACCGTCCTCGCGGCGAACTACTTTCCCTCCATAGATTTGAGTGACGGCGATTACGAGCAGTCTGGCGATTTTTGAGACTTATCACACGATACCGAATGTAAACGAATCGAACAATAAATTTTATTTTGGCAAAGACGACGCAGAAATTACAATTCCCGAGGGTTCGTACGAAGTGCGAGACATAAATGAATTTTTGAAACGTACAAAGTTAAGGGAAACGTTCGCACCGCGACGCACTTGAAACCGTTAACGTAATGCGTGGTGACAATAATAACAACAACAACAACAACAACACAACAACAACAATGACACTGATGACGATAATGGTGAGGGTGGAGAATACCCGATTACGCTCCGCGCAAACTACGACATGATGAGATCAGATGTGCATACAGAATAAACTTTGGCAAGTCCAACAGCATTGGATCGCTGCTGAGATTTTCGTCGAAGCGTATACTGCGACCGCGAAGATGGCACGAATCGAACATGTCGGTCAACATAATGAACGTAATCTGCGTAGAGTGTAACGTGATCACGGGCGCAACGGTAAAAGCGCGCACACGGTACACGAATTTTCGCCGAGCATGCCACCAGGATATAACATATCGGACAGGCCGACGCAGATCATTTACCTGTCGATCACGCCACGGAGCATTACGGATCTAACGATACGCGTCGTCGATCAGAACGGACGATTGCTCGATTTTCGCGGAGAGGAGATCACCATCAGATTGCACATGCGACAGCGACAGCAAGAGTGAGATGCTCGTATTGAACGGATCGGAGCGCACGCAGAGAGATAACGCATTTTTTACAAGGCTGGTAACATCACCGTTCGATAACACTCGCTCATCCAACTGCGTCAGCAAGAAGAAGCTCAGAGCGTCGAACATTAAATTTTTACAATCTTTGAGATTCGCGGTGCGCAACTTTTGAGATGATTGATATCTTGAATATTACCGATGAGCCGATCTTTGACGATCGTCAAGATTGAGACTCACACGTTCATTGAGTCTACAACCCGTTCGCTAATACAACATTTGGGTACAGCGACGAGATAAGAATACCCATACAGCAGTAGGATTTGTATACGTTGCCGTGCGAAAGTTTTCTCTACATCGAAGGAAGATTGACAGTGAAAAAGAAAAACGATCAGATGTCAACGACGCTTTTCTATAATTGCGTGGCGTTCATGTTTGATGAAATTCGATATGAACTCAACGGTGTGGAGATTGACTGTAACCGAAACGTGGGCATAACTAGCACGCTCAAGAATTACGTGTCAATGACGTACAATAAAGCTTTGACTGCGATGAACGCTGGATGGAACTCTAGATCCGACATGGAG